TGCCAAGCAGGGAGCAAAGCAGAGCAAAAATGGAGATTTGGAGATGGTTCAGTGACACTGAACCCTGAACATCAGGGCCTCCAGAATTGGTGGAGGAGGCAGACAAACCTTGGAAAAACAAGAGGTGGAAAAGAAGAGCTGAGAGATTGTTGTCGAGGGATTGCCAGGGGAGCTGGTTTCTGCTCCCAGAAACAGAGCATCCAATACATTTAACATATATGAAAGAACAACAGCTCTCTCCTCACACCATCCTTAAGTATGTGTACTAACAAGACAGATGGAGGCCAAAGATGCAGACAGATCACATCAGGACATCTGTCACTTTATGGCAACAGCCTCCTTAATAAGTGACAAGGCTTCCTCACCCGTGGGCAGATGATGGGGGGAGGCGGGGGTTAGTGTCTGAGCAGTGGCTGTGCAAAGCAGCCGTCAAAGTCATGCAGTGCCCCCCTTTTTTTTAAACAACTTGTTCCAATTACAGCCAATCACATGCGATATGTGCCCTTGATTATCATCCTGGGCAATAGACATCAAAGCTGCCTTCTATGGGTGCTGACATGTGGCTGTGCAGTAATTAGTGGACTTCACTGGAGAGAGTTTCATCACCAAATGTTTTCAATATACTGAATGTCTTAATTTGCAGGGAGGAGGGGGGATAGAGGGGTGCATTCATGTTGGGAGAGAATAATGCCCCACAGAAATAATTAAAGCATAATTACAGCTCATCAGCTGTGCAAGTGCTCACAAAGTGCCGTCGCTGAAGATCTGCCGCTTTCCTCGGGCTATCAGACAAGGAGCAGGCCACATTCACATCCAAAACTCACAGCACAGCCCCAGTTGGACCAAATAGATCCTTGTGTCTTATTACCAGAAATACCACCAGGAAAATGACATAACAACCCAAATTCAAATTAATTTATCTTGCTGTTACACTGGTGCTTATTATCCTCAATAAACACCTGCTATTGCTGAGAATATGTTGTCTGCCAAGGACAAACCAGGCAGCATGCATCAAACCAGGAAGCCCAGAATGCATAGCAGGTCGTTAAAGCAATAACTTGTCTCCTCGGCTGACGTGTCAAACTCTATGCTCTGTGCAAGACGGAGATGCACAGATTGAGGAGCCAGTCAACCTTTTAAATTGACATCATGTTAGCTCTGTCCCCAGGATGAAGCATGGCTATGTCCCGTGATGACCACTTCATACAAATATGGCTGGCAGTGCAGTCATGTAAGGAGCAAAGTGCACGCTAAGTGTTTGTGACGAGTACTAAGGCCATTGCTTGATCCCAAGGAAGTAATGAAGGCGGGACTGTAGGCCATGTGTTTTCTCCATCCACCTGATGGCAGACTTATAACAACCCGGGTGTCAGGCCGACTTAAAGTCATGCATCCTCTCTCTGCTGCTGCGCTCAGAGTTATCGTGACATATGTTTACCCCTCCCAGCCCAGAGCTGAGGATCCAAATGGCACAATGGTTGCCTTCAAGTCTGCTCTGATGATGTTACCCGCCCTCTATGTAAATCTGTGTTCATGTGTGAGTGTGTTTGTTTGCATGTGTGCATGATCTGTACGAATGCCAGGATAAAAACAGATCGCCCTCTAGAGGTGAAATACATGCAGAATGAACCATAAAGTCACCATAATGATGCTGCTTCAAAAAAGAACATAATGGTAAACTGAAACTCTGCTGTTAAAATGAAAATTTACATATAACACATAATATGTTGTAATAACATGTTTATTATACATTATTTACATACATTTATATGTTTTTAGTATATGCATCACAACATAATAAGTAGATGAGCACACCAAGAAACAGTTAAATCACAAATCACAACAATAGTCACCCCAAGGACCTTTATATTGTAAGGAAAATGCCCTACAATAATAAAGAGAGAACCCCAACATTCAGAAAACCCAGAGTAAGACAGGACAAAAGACAAACTATGGTAGAGAGCAAGGAATGAATAATAACTAATGATTTAATGCAGAATGTGGTATAAACACAGAAGAAAAACTCATTGCGGCACACCATTAGAAGCAGCCGATGCCTTCTGTTTACTAAATCCAAATTAGGACGTGGTTCCACAGAAGTGGGGCCTGAAAGCTGAACTGAAATTATGTGTTAATTTACCTGTTATTGGTTTAGTTAAATAAATGCATTCAGCTTATATCTAATTACCTATTATGGCATCAAACATTCAGGAAAAAGAGTGTTGTATAGTACATATATGACAAATGCAAGAAAAACAAAACGCCCCTTCGTCATCATGTAATAACCCCTTAGTGATTCACTATATCTATATTATATCATTCAAGAGCATGCTGTTAAACAGTGTCACCAGTTAGTAAAGGTATTAACTGGGACAGTGACCAGCTTTCAGCAAGAACCTGTGTTGTTTTCTGTTTCAATCAGTTTTGATTAGTGATACTTGATGCTTCACATTGGTATCGATATTAATACTGATATTGGTATCAGTCCATTACATGACAAAATTACAAGTTTGGATATCAGAAGTAAAATGGTATAATCAAACAAAGATCAGGGTAATCAAAGAGAATCAAATAAACTTTGAATGCACTAATGGAAGCTGCATCTCAGGCACAGAATATAAATGATGCTTGGAGCACAGATGTCTAACTCATAAACCATAAATAAAAGCTGGAGAGATTTTCTGATTACTTGAAGCCTCAAAGACAGTATCTCTATCATTATGTTTTAAAGTCAGGTGTGATTAAATGGTAAATGGCCTGTATTTGTATAGCGCTTTACTTAGTCCCTAAGGACCCCAAAGCGCTTTACACAACATTCAGTCATCCACCCATTCACACACACAGGTGATGGCAAGCTACATTGCAGCCACAGCCGCCCTGGGATGCACTGACAGAGGCGAGACTGCCGGACACTGGCGCCACCGGGCCCTCTGACCACCACCAGCAACAGGTGAAGTGTCTTGCCCAAGGACACAACGACAGAGACTGTCGAAGCCGGGGCTCGAACCAGCAACCTTCTGATTACAAGACGAACTGCCAACTCTTTGAGGGCCCCACTGCATGGTCATAGGCCTGCACTAAACCCTACTTTACCATCTTGGGAATCATAATTTACAAATGAAAAATAATGCTGGATTGAGTAAGAGTTGAAACTAGTGACTGAGACCATGAACTCATCAGGATACTATTTACTTTACTGTACAGTCAGCCCGTGTTGGTCATTAGAAAGAACATTTGTTTAGGGCACTTTCACGTTGCTATCACTTTTCAGACCCAAACGATGCAATCATGTTTATTTCTATTTTCACAGTCTATAGTTGTGTCCACACACAACTATATCAACAGCTTAGCTCTTTAAGGGAGGGGGAAAACAGTGTATTGATCGTGTATTTGCATTTGCAGATGTTCAAGGTTGTGATATCAGTACCAACAGACATGAAAAGGGGGGTGTCGAGCCAGCTGTAGTATAAATAAACCTTCATATATCAACATATATCCACAATGGGATGCTTCCTCATCTGAAGGTTTTTTTTTAATATTTTTAGTTATATTGTAGGAGGCTATATTTTTGGATTTATATTCCATGTACTACCCTGCAGCATTGCCCTGCTTTCATGACTTTATGGAACTGACACAAGTTGCACATCTTAAGTAGAAAGCAAAATTAGGCAATTAATTTTGTATGCCTTAAACATGAGACTAGTGCCTTATTGGTGCTCTAGAAAGACAAGCTGAATGTCAGGAAAAATAAAACTTAAAAATATAACATATATAAAATAAAACTACATATTAATATAAAATAATAAAATGGGCATGGAGCATTGTCATCGTAGCGCAATGATCTGTGGCAGTGTGACATGATATAGTTGTGTTATATAAGAAGGTTTGTTTAACAGAGATGCTGAACTCATTTAGCTGGACCACCTACAATCCTATTTAATTTCAACTGGACTGGACCAGGAAAATACTGAATGATGACTTCTAAAGTTTGTTTTTAACCCTCTTAATCAGGGGCGCCACTAAGGGGGGCCCAAAACTTGCTGGCCCTACCAGTGCCTCCCAGTTACACAATTTAGAGATGATAAATGACACAGTTTTTGTTATTTATTAGTAAATTAAGTGCAAATCACTACAGTTTAATTTAACTGGTCCATGTTATTGTCTGATAAACATGTTAGAATAATAAGATAAGATGGATGTTTGAAAGGATATCCAATGTAGTAAATACTACTTAGAAAACAAAAACACACGAATTAACAAATTATTTCCACAAGGGGGCAACACTACACAAGAAATGTATTATTATGTAGTTTCAGAAAGTCTTCCACATTTACAATGTTTCTTTATAGTATGAAGTGTATCACGTTTGACACCAAATTAAATATTACAGATAGATAGATAGATAGATAGATAGATAGATAGATAGATAGATAGATAGATAGATAGATAGATAGATAGATAGATAGATAGATAGATAGATAGATAGA